AGCGTTTAACTCCTGTGCCACCATCGCCCTGTTTAGATTTTAACCATTTACATTATTTTCACTTGATTAAAGTTTAGTTTGTATCTCTATGTAGCCTGAGTAAATAAAATATTCTGTGCAAATAAACATCCTTTGCTAACATTGTTAAGTGCTCTATTTATTTATTTATTTATTACTCATCCAGTCCTGGAATCACAACGAGTTCCTTTTCCTTCCGCCATCGATCATCAGATCTCCTGCAGCAAGGCTCCAACTGGAGCAAACAGAAGAGCTCACATCACTCCTATTCTAATGTCTCTTGTTGACTGTTGTGATCTGTTTATTCCATTCGTGTTCTTAATTGAATAACCTGAAATTGGGTTGTGGGCGGAGCTACACACCTGTGAGAAATAAAAGGACTTTTATTTTACTTTGTCTCAGAGTGGGCCTGTTATTTCCTGGAAGTCAAAGAAACAATCCACTGTGGCTTTATCCACATGCGAAGCAGAATACATGGCTTTGTCGGCTACTGCTCAGGAAAGTCTTTATCTTGTACAGTTGCTAGCTGGAATGCACGATGGAGTTGAATATTCACCTGTAACTATTTCTGAAGATAATCAAGGTGCTATTGCCCTTTCATGAAACCCAGTCCATCGCCAAGGCTGTAAGCATATAGATATACGATATCATTTTGTTCCATCTGTACTCAGCGATGGGAAAATAACCATTCACTACTGGCCTGCAGAGGAAATGGTAGCAGATGTTTCTACCAAACCTATGTCCAAAACAAGGATGGATAAGTTTGTGATGTTTATATTTGGCATTTGGAGAGTTTGTTTTTGTATTTGATGTACAGGAATGTATTTTTTGTCAAAGAGCAAGTGGGGGTGTTGACTGTTGTGATCTGTTGATTCTATTTGTGTTCTTAATTGAATAACCTGAAATCGGGTTGTGGGCGGAGCTCCACACCTGTGAGAAATAAAAGGACTGCTCATTCATGAATTGCAGACCAAACGCAAACAACTACTGTGTGTCTATTTA